CTCTCTCTCTCTCTCTCTCTCTCTGCACTCCCCACCCCCCGTCAAAAATAATATAAACATTAATTTCTTTTAATTTATATGGAAATGCAAAAGAACTAGAATAGTTAAAAAAAAATAATTTTGAAAAAGAAGAAGAAAGCGGGAGGAACCAGCCAGCTGGAGCCCAAGACTTACTATCTAGCGATCGTAATCAACACTCTGTGGTACCGGTGGAGGGAGAGACAGAGAGCGCAAGGGAACAGAAAGAGCACCCAGAAATAAACCCACACAAGTACCCAAGTGATTTCTGACGAGGCTGCAAAAGCCATTCAGTGGGGAAAAGGTAATCTTTTCAAATCTGGCGCCGGAGCAACTGGATTACACAGAGGCAAAAAAATGAAAGCTCAACTTAAATTTCACAGCTTGTTCAAAAAAAATAATTCAAAGTGGATTGTGGATTTATTTGGTCGTTTTCTCTAGGATTTCATTTTTAAATAATCTCTACTCCCCCCCCCCCAACGTGAGGCTCGAACTCTCGACCCGGAGATCGTGAGCTGCACGCTCTGTGGACTGAACCGGCCCTCCTGGATTATGCATTTACACGTAGAACGTTTCACAGAAAACGCTGCAGAAAATCTTTAAGACCTAGAGCAAGGCTGAGAATTCTTATAGCACCAGAAGCACAAGCTGTATTTTTTAAATATCGAGAAACTGGACTTGATCAAAATTAAAAATTTTCTGCTCCGTGAGAGGCCATCAGAAGAGGATAAAAAGACAAGCTAAAGCTTGGGAGAAAATACTTGCCAACAAGATATCTGACAAAGGGCTTGTATCTAGGACATGTTTTTCAAATCTCGAAATTCAATAGTTAAAAATAACCCTAACACCCCAATGAGAAAATGGACAAACGACATGAAAAGACATGTCAGGAGGCCGATCTGTATGGCAAATAAGCCTACGAGAGGATGTGCAACATGTCTAGCTATTAAGGAAATGCGATTAAGACCACAATAAGGTGGCATTCCACGCTCATTACAACGGCTAATATAAAAAACAGCAACCACATCAAACGCCGGTGAGGAGAAGGACAAACGGGATCTCTCACGCTTGCTGGTGGGAGCGTACAGCCATTCTAGAAAACAGTACAGCAGTTTCTCATCCAACCAAACGTGCGATCACCATGCAGCTGCGATCCTGGACATTCATCCCACAGAAATGAAAACTGACATCTACCCAAAAACCTCCATTCAAATTTTCAGAGCAGCTTTTTATGTAGTAACCAAAACCTGAAGAAAACCACCCAAATGTCAAAGCTTTACCAGGTGAGTGACGAAACGAGCTGTGGCATATCAGTCCGCGGAACACCGCTCAGCAATAAAAAGGGCAAACTTTGATACATGGAACAACCTGGATGGATCAAGGGCATTCTGTTTTGTTTTTAAATGTTTAATTTTATTTTTGAGAGAAAGAGCATGCATGCGTGGAGCGTGGGGTAGGGCAGAGACGGGGGGGTGGGGGGGTGGAGCGGATGAAGGATCCAAAGTGGGTTCTGTGCTGTCAGCAGGGTTCAAACTCATGAACTCCAAGATCGTGACCTGAGCCGACATCAGGCACTTATCCGACTGAGCCAGCCAGGCACCCCAAGAGCATTCAGTTGAGTGAAAAAAGCCAACCTCAAAGGCTACACACTTTATGACCTATTTACGCAACAGAACTATAGCACTGGGGAGCAGATTAGATCAGCATTTATTAGGGTTTAGGGACCAGGGACTGTCTAAAGTGTAGCAACTATATTATTATTGCTATTTTTTTTAATTTGAGAGAGAGAGAGAGAATGCATGACTGGGGGAGATGGGTGGAGGGGGAGAGAAAGAGAGAGAGGCAGAGAGAGAGAGAGAGAGAGAGAGAAAGAATCTCAAGCAGGCTCCACTCCCAGTGTGGAGCCCAACATGGGGCTCCATCCCACAACCCTGGGATCATGACCTGAACCGAAAGCAAGAGTTGGACACTCAACCAACTGAACGACCCAGATGCCCCAGGTGTAGCAACTATAAAAGGAACACAAGTGATGAGGCGCCCGGATGGCTCAGTGGGTTAAGCATCCTACTTCAAATCAGGTCATGATATCACAGTTCACAAGTTCGAGCCCCACATCAGGCTCCATGCTAACAGCTCAGAGTCTGGAACCTGCTTCCGATTCTGTGTCTCCCTCTCTCTCTGCCTCTCCCCTGCTCACACTGTCTCCCTCTTTCAAAAATAAATATGGGGCGCCTGGGTGGCGCAGTCGGTTAAGCGTCCGACTTCAGCCAGGTCACGATCTCACGGTCCGTGAGTTCAAGCCCCACGCTGGGCTCTGGGCTGATGGCTCAGAGCCTGGAGCCTGTTTCCGATTCTGTGTCTCCCTCTCTCTCTGCCCCTCGCCCGTTCATGCTCTGTCTCTCTCTGTCCCAAAAAATAAAATAAATGTTGAAAAAAAAAATTAAATAAATAAATAAATAAATAAACATTCAAAAAAAGTAAAAATAAAAAAAAGGAGCACTGTGATGAAACAGCTCTCGTCCTGACTGTGGTGGTAGTTCCACAAATCTATACATGCAACAGGGACAGCATAGCACCGCACGTACACACGCATGGATGGGAATCTGCTGTGATCTGAATAAGGTCTGAAGAGCACACTGCTGTCAGTTTCCTGGCTTCACTCCTGTACTTGAGATACAGGAGGTGTTACCACTGGAGGAAGCCGGAGCAAGTGTGCACGGGGCTTCTCTGCACCATTTTTTTAACAATTTCTTATGAGTCTGTAATTATTTCAAAATAAAATACTTCAAAATAGATTTTTTTTAAAGGCCTACATATTGCATGGAATACGCGAAATGTCCAGAGAAGGCAACATAGAGACAGATAGCAGACCACTGGTTGCCTGCAACTAGGGGGTAGAAGCTTTGACTGTGAACAGGCATGAGGGAACTTTTTGGGGGTGATAGAAATATCCTAAAATGAAATTGTGGTGCTGGTTACACTATTTTATTGTGATTTTTACTAAAAAAAGCATCGAATTGTACATCAGAATTATGGTATGTAAAGGACTTTACCATAGCTGATTTTAAAGAAAAAAAAAAGCAATATAAACACACACTCAATTAAACCAGAATTATCCAAAGGCCTCCTCAAGCAATCTTACCTGAGATTCCTTTAATCCTTGTTTCCCCCACCAAATTGGGTTGGTATCAACTATGATAACCAGAAGATTCAATTCATCTTCTGAAAATATTAACAAAAAATAAAAACGTTAGCCCCATGGAAGCATAGCAAAGCTAACATTCCCAATTTGTAAATTAAACCCACAGCAGGCACCACCACTTGACTTTACGTGTATATCAACCTACAATCATGAAATTAACAAAAGGCATGTTCTTTTAATAATCTAAAGCTCTGTGGGCCCTGAGCAGGCTCTTGCCTGCTCTCTGCACCACTACATCTTTGATGCACTAGAACGGAAGCTCCGTGAGGGGGGGGACTCTTCCTCCTCTGCTTGTAGCACAACTGCCTAACGTGGTAGACGCCCAATAAATACCTAACAAACGAAGCCCAAATATTCATTTTAAATGCCTGGTCAAGGACAGAACGCACCGATTAACCAGTTAATATGCAATAGTGATAGAATTTCAGGCACGGAGGGGTTGAAGGGAGACACTGGACTCAGTTTGGCCTCAAGTCTATCAAATATACTAGCAGCAAGGCCAACTGTGATTTGGAACCGAAATTTTTTTTAACTAGGCTCCACGCCCAGGGCAGAGCCCAACACTGGGCTTGAACTCACAACGCTGAGATCAAGACCTGATCTGAGATCAAGGGTCAGACACTTAACCCACTGAGCCACCCAGGCACCGCAGGAACCAATTTTTAAAAGGTGAAAACCAAAGAGGGAAAAGCAATTGCTATGTAAAGATTTTACTGGGAATAGGCTACTCTCCAAAGTTAGGCACAACTAGACAGGCTAACAACACCATGAATTCATTCAACAAACACTGACACTAAATACCAGTGTCAGGTGCTGGGGATACTGGGTTCAAGCCCTCAAGGAGTCTAAATTCTAACTGAGGTGAGAGACACACAAACCGTAAGTCCTTGCCGTTATGAAAAACCCAGGATGCTCATTTAATAGCAAAAAGCAATGACGCCTTTCCTGCCCCCCATACCTTCTTCCTGAAGTTCCACCTCCTGTATCAGGATAATCCTCACTCCTTCGGAGATTTCCGCTCACATATCCAAATCCTATTTACCCTTCAAAGCCCTAAGCCAGTGCTACCTCTTCCCTCCAAGAACACTCCTCAGGTCTTCCAACAGGTCCTGTCTCCCCCAGCTGAGGACAGGAGTCCTCTGCATCAGCCACTGGCACATGTAATACTAGAATCGCATTCTGTGCTGACAACATACTGAGGGAAATATCTTTCATCAATTATAACACGTACCCTCTCTCTCTTTTTTAAATGTTTACTTATATATTTTTTAGGGGGAGGGAGGGGCAGAGAGAGGGAGACAAAGAATCCCAAGCAGGCTCCAAGCGGTTGGCGCAGAGCCCAATGGGGGGCTCGAACATACGAAGCGTGAGATCATGACCAGAGCCGCGATCAGGAGTCGGGTGCTTAACCAACTGAGCCACCCAGGTCCACCTCTTTTTTTTTTTTTTTTTTTTTTTTTTTTTTTTTCCTTTAACATTTAACAGTTGCTAAAAGCAGGACGGTATCTTATAACATTTCTCTTAGTGGTATCCTAAATAAAAATGCATCTCATCATTGGTAGCGTCTTAGAGGACCTGAAGTATGCCATTCCTGCTCTGCAAATGAAAGTAACTTGCGCGAAGTCACATGGCCCACTGGCAAGTAGCAAAACACCCTGCTATGAAGACAGGTCTGCTGGACTCTAAAGACTAGCTTTTCAATGCCTCACTGTCCGCTTTGACCCTCTTTTAACGACACTCAGAACTCACTGCCTCATTTTACAGCTAGTTGTGTTTCTGATCTCTGTTGCCAGCTCTGCTAAATCTAGCCCACCAGACCGGACTCCTTACAGAATGAGGATTTTTGCTAACCCTAGGGTGAAATAACACATGCAAACCACACACACAAAGACGCCTAGCACAGAAGCAGCACTTAGTAACTGTCTTTCACAGGACTTCCTGTGAAAGACACGCCTCCACCCGTAAGCCCACACTCCTTTGGCCTCATTCCCCATGAGGCCCCATCCCACAATTCTCAAGGTCACTCCTTGCCACACCCGAAGCCTGAGACAAAGACAAAGTGCTGCCTTTCAGGAGAGACGGGTATCCATACACACGGCACTGCCCTGTGATTTTTCCTTCTTTGGGCCACGCCAGGCCTGCCTCTCTCACAGCCCTGTGGTATCTTAAAAAAAAGATAAGGGAACCATGGGCAGTTGTTACAGCCTCTGAAATGATCTATTTCCACTCTTGCTGCCACAGTCCCTTCTCCACACAGCAAAGTGACCTTTTAAAATTATAAATCAGGGGCGCCTGGGTGGCGCAGTCGGTTAAGCGTCCGACTTCAGCCAGGTCACGATCTCATGGTCCGTGAGTTCGAGCCCCGCGTCAGGCTCTGGGCTGATGGCTCAGAGCCTGGAGCCTGTTTCCGATTCTGTGTCTCCCTCTCTCTCTGCCCCTCCCCCGTTCATGCTCTGTCTCTCTCTGTCCCAAAAATAAATAAACGTTGAAAAAAAAAATTTTTTTTTTAAAAATAAAATTATAAATCAGGGACGCCTGGGTGGCTCAGTGGGTTAAGCGTCCGACTTCAGCTCAGGTCACGATCTCACGGTTTGTAGGTTCGAGCCCCATGTCGGGCTCTGTGCTGACAGCTTGGAGTCTGGAGCCTGCTTCGGATTCTGTGTCTCCCTCTCTCTCTGCTCCTCCCCCACTCATGCTCTGTCTCTCTCTCAAAAGTAAATAAATATTTTTTAAAAGTCTTTGAATTATAAATCGGATTGTACCAACTCTTTGCTTGAGACCCTACAATGGCTTCATATTACACTTAAAAACAAAGCTCAACCTCTTTACCTTGGCCCACAAGGGCCATGCATCTGCCTAGTTCTCTGATCTCATCCTTCTAGCTCATTTCGCTTCCACCACGCTGGTCTCTTTTTTTTTCTTAAGACATTAGGCTCTACAACTGATAGTTTAACGTATGGATGAAAGTCTCTCCTTTCTATCCCTCAAGTTCCCCATTTCTATCTCACTGTAATGCAGTGGCTCAACTTGCCACGGCGCCTTCGCACAGTCATTCAAGACTCCGTTTCAGTACCTGAGCTCTTATCTGAAGTAGATGCGCCTCGACCATCCAGTATATCGTCTTCACACCTCTTGTCACCCTTCGAAGCTATTCTTATTTACTTGCCTACTGTCTGCCTCGCCCACTAGACTGTACCCTCCCCGAGGGCCCTCGTCTGTCATGTTCTCAGCCGTACTGCGCAGCGCATGAAATAACGCCTGGCACACAGGACGCCGTTCAGAAATATTTCCTGAATAAATGAATTCTTTTGCTACTCCCCTAAAGACCAAACAGGTTGCACCCGGCCCCCGACATAATGCTCCACCTGGGTGGTCCTGGCCAGGCCGAGCCCGCCCAGTCCCGGGGTCGGGGGGTCCCTCCCAGCACGGCCCTCACCGTCTGACACCATGGCAGCCAAGATCCCCCCACGCCCCGGCAGCAAGCAGTCAAGTACTCCTCCCGGCTCCTGGGCACCCCGACTTCCGGCGCCGCAGCGTGACGCAAAGGCGGCTCCGCCCAGGCCTCGCGCCGTACCCACGGCCCCGCCCCGCCAAAGCGCCGGAAGTGGAGTGTGGACTCGGGGTGCGTGCTGACCGTGTCTGCGGCTGAGAACCACACCGGTCGGGGGACGCTTCCCCGCAGCGCGGGCGGCCCTGGTCCCCTCGGGCTCCGCGGTCCGGAGGGCACCATGGACGACAAGGGTAAGTCGGGACGGGCAGGGCCGGGGCCTGCTGGGCTTAAAGCGGAGCCACGCCGGGGTCCCTCCACCTCGCACGCCCAGGCTGCGCTCTGCGAGAAGTCCCTTTCCAAGCTTAGGCTGCTCGTCTGGAGGCGCTGCTTCTAGTGGCAACTAAATCTCTCTCGCTGCCCCTGTATCCACGGGCTGGGTCCCCAGGGTATCCCAGGCCTTCCTCTTCCAACAGTTTCCAGTGCCCTCCTCCGAAAAAGGGACACTTGGGCCAGGGGTGCAGGTCTCCCCAGTCTTGATTTCTTCATATGTAAAATATGAGTAAGATTCCCTGCTTTATTGGATCTAGTACTGGAATTTTTTTTAATGTTTATTTATTTTCTTGAGAGAGAGACAGAGCGTGAGCAGGGGAGGGGCAGAGAGAGAGGGACACACAGAATCCGAAGCAGGCTCCAGGCTCTGAGCTGTCAGCACAGAGCCGGGTGCAGGGCTGGAACTCATAGTGAGATCATGACCGGAGCGGAAGTCCCACGCTTCACCCACTGAGCCACCAGGCGCCCCTGGAATTTTTTTGAAAGGCATATTTGATGTGCAGGTCTAGTGGTTATCAAGGTGTTTTACTAAGTGAGGTACAAGAGGGAACTAACATGTATGATACTTATCATTTAAGAAAATAAGAGGGGGATGGACCTCTGCACGTACATGTATATATGTAAGCAGGTGAACAGGCTTGAATTAGCATAGACTGTCTGGAGAGGTTGACTCTGGGATTCTCCCACGATGTGGAGTCCAGGTTAAGAGGGAGGATGACCTTCCACTATCATTTGGTGGTGCTTCAATTTTATACCATTATGAACAGATAGCTTTCTCAAAACGAGAAAGAGAGCTTGTGAATACTAAAGTGTATTCCCGTCAACATTTATAATGCCCCTGAAGCCAAACATCCTGAAAAGAAAGTATTTTTAAAATTAGTTTGCTTCTAAGTGAAAACCTCTCTGCTCTTACATCCTGCTAAATGAGTTTGGTGAATTGCTTTTTTTGTCCCTTCCCAGAGCTAATTGAATATTTTAAGTCCCAGATGAAGGAAGATCCTGACATGGCCTCAGCAGTAGCCGCCATCCGGACTTTGCTGGAATTCTTGAAGAGAGATAAAGGTGAAGAGGGTCGGATTCGAACACTTTGGGTGTAGGGAAAGGCTTCTAATGACTGTTAGAGGGGTAGAAAGTGAAAAGGTGTGTGGCCTTCATAAGGTGATGCAGCTCCAAGCTCAGCTTCTCCTTCATTTCAGTCTTCGTTTTGTTTTGTTTTGTTTTTAACGTTTATTTATTTTGAGAGAGAGAGAGAGAGAAAGAGAGAGAGAGGAGAGTGGGGGAGGGGGGAGGGGCAGAGAGAGAGGGAGACACAAAATCTGAAGCAAGTTCCAGGCTCCAAGCTGTCAGCACAGAGCCCGATGCGGGGCTCAAACTCATGAGGCTTGAGATCATGACCTGAGCCAAAGTCGGACACTTAACTGACTGAGCCACCCAGGCTCCCCTCAGTCTTCCTTTTAACCTGGAGAGAGCCCCCCAGTCATCATTAAATGGGTCCCCTTTCAAAAGTGAGATGAACTTTGAATCAAGAGTGACCATGTTTTTTGTTTGTTTGTTTCTAATATACTTATTTATTTGGAAAGGGGGTGGGAGCAGAGGGAGGAGAGAAAAGCCCAAGCAGATGCTACACCACCAGCGTGGAGCCCAATGCGGGGCTTGAACCCACGAACTCTGAGATCATGACATAAGCCGAAATTAGACGCTTCACTCAACCACCCAGGCTCTCCAAGAGTGACCATGTTGTAGCAAGTCAACCATGAAGCTTAAATTATAGCAATAGCTCAGCTTTATAAGTGTTTATTGAGTTTCTGTCATGTGCCAGAATTTGTGCAGTTGCTACAAAGAATGCTACAGAATAAATTTTAGTATGAGTGTCACTCGCTGTGATCACCTAATTCAGGCATCCTACATGTAAGTTTCTTGGTATAGCATGATATCTTATATAAGCAAAGTAACAACAACAGTAAAGTGCCTTCTTGCGTGTGAAGGGCTGGCCTAGAGACGTGTGTCTAAGATGACCTCTGGAGTCTTCCCGTTGTACGTGCAGTAACACGCAAACAGCTAAGCCCTGCCTGAACCGCCTCGCACACCTCATCTGCCACTTCTGCTTACTTTCCTTCCAGGCCATCCCTCACTAGACTGTGCTTCGGCCCTGGCGGCCTCTCTCTGTCCTGTCAAGTTTGTCCCCATCTCAGGGTCTTTGTGGTTAGAGTCTGTACCTGTAACCTTTTCCTACTGGCTCTTTATGTGGCTGGATCTTTTCTTACTCGGGTCTCAGTTTCAATGGCCTCCATTCCAGGGGCCACCCCTTTTAGCTCTTTCCAAAGTAGCCCCACCTTTCTCATCATTCTGCTTTTCTCTGTCCTTGTTGGGTCTGTGACTTGTGTGTTTCTTTGTGTGTTTGTTTACCGTCTGCCTCTTCCACTAGAGAGGGAGTCCCATCAGAGCAGGGACCCTGTCCATCTGCTCACTGATGTGTCTCTAGCATACGGGATGCGTTCGGGAAACACTGGTTGAATAAGTGAATGAATCACAGACACACCAAGGGGCTGTGATACTTAAACGAACATCGCCTTCCTCGTGTGATCAATCCAGGGGAGACCATCCAGGGCCTGAGAGCAAACCTCACCAGTGCCATAGAAACCCTGTGTGGCGTGGACTCCTCTGTGGCCGTGTCCTCAGGCGGGGAGCTCTTCCTACGCTTTATTAGCCTCACCTCCTTGGAATACTCGGTAAGCACTGCCCTCCTTGGGTTACCTTTCTCCTTTGTTTGGCTACAAATACTCTCCTGGATCTTGCCCTTCCCCTCATTCTGCTCCTTTCTTCCCAGGATTACTCTAAATGTAAAAAGATCATGATTGAGCGGGGAGAACTTTTTCTCAGGAGAATATCCCTATCGAGAAATAAAATTGCAGATCTGTGCCATACTTTCATCAAAGATGGGGCGGTGAGTAGATTTCCGGGGTGTGTGGTAACTAGGAGCAAGGATCTTGGAGTTAGACTCCTGGGGTAACATCTCTCCGTGCCACTTACTTGCTGTCTCACCTTGGACAAGTTACTTAACCTCTCTGTGCTGCAGTTTTCTCATGTTACATAAAGGTAGTAACAGCACCTACCTCATCAGGCTGTTGTGGGAGGAGGTACTGAGATGATCTAAGGACTGTGTACTATGCCTGGCACACAGCAAGCACTACACAAATGTGTAAATGTGGTTACAGAGGCTGTCCTATCAAACAGGTGGAGAAAAACCCTGGGAGAGCACGGATGATTCTTTGATTTTAATAGGCTGTCTCACCAAAGAAGCATTTTCATTACTGGATGTGTACTAAATCAAAATTCAGTCCGCACATAACAGCTCTTGGCACTGGGTCATCCTGATGTGAAGGTGAAGGTGAAGGTTAGCACTAGCTTGCGATAATGTCCGTGCGTTCGTTTCCAGTGCTGTTTCAGAGACACAGAGCTGCCAAGTACAGGTTGAGCGAGGACAGGAGCTGCAGGTTAAGCCAGTCCCCGGCAAAGGGGCAGTAAAACTTTGATGACGTCTCTCCCACGGCGTCCCTCTTCTGCCAGCCAAGCCTCCACGGACCATAAAATCATTTACTTGCATTTTGACTCTGAAATCTTGTCCTCGGTTTTATTATCCCCTTCCCAACCTTTGAAGTGTGTTATTCAGTAAACGATGTAATAGCGAGTAGAGCTTGTACAAACGCCGGTTGCAAACAAAGCCACTTTTGCTCGAGTGGAGGCAAGATTACGACTGCCTCTCGCTGAGGCCTTCTCCTCCCGCCAGACTGCCCCCCGCACTCAGTATTCGGCAGGTTTCGTTTGCTCTGGTGTGTTGGAAGGTGTGATACCCACCTGCATCCGTGCTGATTTAGACTAAATTCAGAGCAGAGCTGCCCACATTTCACCTTGTGGATGAACCACCTGGGGATCTTAATGCAGATTCCGATTCAGTAGATCTTAGGGGGCTGAGAAGCTGTATTTCTTACAGGCTCTCAGGAGGCCCGGAAAAGAGCTACGGTGCTATATCCATCCCTTTCGCATATACAGAACCGCGTAGTCTGTTGCCTAGAACACAGTTAAGCGAGCATCTGTACATTGTATCCGGTCCACAAATGGGTTGTGTTTACCCCAAGTAGTATCTATAAACTAAAAAAAATTAGCCAACGCTTAAGTCTTGGATTCTCAAGAAAAATCGATGATCTGGCAACAGGAGGCCCATTGTGACCCCGTTGGAGCTTGGTCTCTCCTCTTTGCCGCTGGCCCCACCCGAGCATGTCTTCATGCGACCTGCCTGGTGCCTGCGGGCCTGAGTGTGCAAACCGAGTCTTAGAAATGGGAAAACCGGCCCAAAGGAACCTAACAGAGCCTTCAGATAGAAAGACTTGTGTCTTGTGAGCCACACCACACGGAGGCTCCACCCTCCCGCACTTGCTGTGGGAAGAGAGGGCCCACGATACATGTGCCATCAAAGATCTCCTCTCCACCTACAGTTGACTTGTGGGAAAGGGTACAGGGAAGCCTCGGGGTGCCTGGAACGTGCATTTGAGGGGCAGAGAGCGTGGGTGATCACTGCAAAGCTTGCCCTTTTGACAGAGCTTTCTCGGTCCACAGCGAATATTAACTCACGCCTACTCCAGAGTGGTCCTGAGAGTTTTGGAGGCAGCAGTGGCGGCTAAGAAGCGTTTCAAGGTGTACATTACAGAGTCACAGCCTGATTTATCAGGGCAAGTATCATTCCACTTGGTTATGTGCCGAGCAGTCCTTTTTTTTTTTTTTTTCTTTTAGTGTTCACTTATTTATTTTGAGAGAGAAGGGAGGGAGGGAGGGAGAGAAAATCCCAAGCAGGCTCCACACCGTGAGCACAAAGCCTGACAGAGGGCTCAAACTCATGAACTGTGAGATCGTGACCTGAGCCGAAGTCAAGAGTTGGATGTTTAACAACTGAGCCACCGATGGGCCCCTAGCAGTCACTTTAAAGAGCAAACTAAGGATTCGCACCCGTGTGGGAAGACCCAGAACACGTCCCCCCGTTTGCCAGATAGTCAGCATTGCCTTCGGCTGTGCCTGTTCCTGTCCCTGAGGAAAAATCCTGTGTAATTGCAGTCGGCCACGGTACGGCATCCAGGGTTTTTATTTAGTAGTTAGATCAAAGGAACAGCAACTGAATACGTCTGCAGAAAGATTTGTGTCAAGGAGTAGATGATTCACATCTCTCTCCAGAAGATAATTAAAGGAAAAACTTAGTCCTTTTTTCTGCATTTGTATCTCCTACTCAGAGTCCCCAAGAATGTAGTTTTCCTAAAACATACGTTCTTCTAAAGAACCCAAATTCTTGTTTCCTTAGTCCAGAATCTTGGGATGTGCCCCTTAATCCGTGAATATGAGCAGCGTCTCAAGCCAATATGATATGTCGTCCAAATTAAGTGATTCATCATACGCACTATGGGACTTTCTTGGACTCTCTAATGTTCTCAAAATGTCATTTTCCAGTAAGAAAATGGCCAAAGCTCTCTGCCACCTCAACGTCCCTGTCACTGTGGTCCTAGATGCTGCTGTTGGGTAAGTTCCTGTCTTCCTGACCACAGTTACTTTTCCTCACCCACCCTCGGGGTTGGCTTGGAGCAGGGTTTCCTGATTGAAGGTTTGCGTCCCATTCATAAAACTGCATTGGGCAATGTGCCGCTTCTGAATTGAATTCTGAATTCATGAGACCAGCAAGCTCGTGATAAAGTCTTGATAGTACACGCAGAAGACAGAGCTGTAGAAAGTTGTGGAGAGTGGGAGTCGCTTATGTAGTCTTAGGGCGCACCTTAAGAACAAGGTGCAAAGGTTGGGTTAAGGCCAGCACACGTAATCAGTGCTCCCTCTTCAGCAGGCGTAGGCTGTCCTCAGTGGCCCTCGGGGCTTCTTTGACTTACCCGTGCAACTTCACTTTTAAAACTAAGGACACATTCCGAGAACTGACAGGGTACCTCACAAAAGAAAACAGGACGGATAATCTCTTGGAAAGAAAACACATAAGGCAGATGGTTAAGGCAATTAAGAATGCGTTCAAAGTAAGCATGTTGAAGAACTGTACGTAATTGTTCATCGTCAAAGATAAATTGACCTTCACCCTACCTGAAAGGTTTTTTTTTTTATAAATTTTTTTGTTCATTTAAAAAACATTTTTTTTTAACGTTTCTTTCTTTTTGAGAGAGAGAATGCAGGCAGGGGAGGGGCAGAGAGAGAGAGGGAGACCCAGAATCGGAAGCAGGCTCCAGGCTCTGCGCTGTCCCCGACGTGGGGCTCGAACTCCCGAGCCGTGAGATCATGACCTGAGCTGAAGACTGAGGCTTAACCGAGCGAGCCACCCAGGCGCCCCAGAAAGATTCTTGAATTACATAGCCTTTTCTTCCAATTTCAGACCACCACAGATTTTAAAATTGTGGTTTTGTTCGTATTGAATTAGATCAGAAAATTGAGTGGCGCACACGTAGTGAGAATCAGTCCTGGGTCAGCTACCGCACCCATACGTGTATGTGCGCTGGGTGGCAGCATGCTGTGCACGTTTTACTGTGGGGGTGTGATCACGGTGGGTTTCCACGCCCCGTGGTGGCAGAACTAGTAAGAGTGCCAAGGGTGTGTCTCGGGCGAGGTGCTCTTCTGAAGAAAGTTGTTTTGAGAGGGGTTTAGTGAGCTGAAAATGGAATATTAATGTCGGTAGGTGGTGATGCTAACAGCAGCCAAGAAAATAGAGCAATTTTTTTTTTTTTTAATTTCTTCAGCTACATCATGGAGAAAGTGGACCTTGTCATAGTTGGCGCTGAAGGGGTTGTTGAAAACGGGGGCATCATTAACAAGGTGAGAACATCGCTTCTCCACGGTTCCTTGCTCCGGGCTTGGAGAGGTCGCCACCCTACCTGCTGGCGGCATCGGGCATTACGGTTCCCTCATCCAGTCCTGTTTAGCCTGAAGACGACCATTGCATCAGACAGTGTCCCTGTCCCCCGGGGCCACTGGAGCGGCCAGAGTTTGGTCACCTGTCTTTGATCTTTGTAAACCATGAGAATGCAGTTCATCTTTTCTCAGAACATGTTTTAATTGGAATTGGGTTTGGCTGCTTGTTTTCTAATTGGGCATATTAGACATCGGTGTAGTGTGGTGGTAACATTTCTCTATCCGTTGCTTACCATGGAAGGATTTCATAATTTGTTCCACGTGCTGTGTAGTGAAACATATGGGACATAAAGGTTTCACGCGTACGGCTTGGAGGCGTGGCCTCACTTGGCGTGATGTTTTCCAAGCGTCTGTATTGTAGCAGGTGTCAGCGCTTCGTCGTCCTTCACGGCTGCGTAACGTCCCGTCGCGTGCGCAGACCACGTTTGCTTATCCGCCTGTTCACGTCCACTTGAGTTCTCTCTACGTTTCAGCTCTTGGGAATAATGTCACTACGAACGCGGGTGCACAATCATCCGTTTGAGTTCCTGTTTTCAGTCCCCTCCAGTACATACCTACGATGGAATTTCTGGGTCATACGGTAATTCTACGTTCAGCTTCTCGAGGACCCACCAGACTCTTCACGGCAGCCGCGCCATTTCGCCTTCTCCTCAGCAACGTGCAAGGATTCCAGCTTCTCTACGTCCTTGCCAACACTTGTGTTTTGTTTTTTATTCTAGCCGCCCCAGTGGGCGTGAAGTAGCATCTCATGGTGGTTTTGACTTGTGTTTGCCTAAGGACTGAAGACCTTTAGCATCTTTGGGGTGTGCGTCTGACTCTGTGCATCTTTGGAGACCTATGTTGTCGTCTTTTTCTTTCTTTTAACGTTTATTTTTGAGAGAGAGCGTGCACGAGTCGGGGAGGGGGATAGAGAGAGGGGGACAGAGGATCTGAGGCAGGCTCTGCACTGACAGCAGAGAGCCCTACACGGGGCTCAAACCCACAAAGCATGAGATCGTGACCTGCGCCAAAGTCAGACACTCGGCCGACGGAGCCACTCACGGGCCCCTATGCTGTCATCTTTGTTTAAAAGATCTTTAATTCCAAAGCCAGAATTACATGCATTATGTAACATATCACACACCTCCAAATGTGCCATAAGATCTCATCCTTCTACGTTTTTTCTGACTCTCCAGATTGGAACCAACCAGATGGCCGTGTGCGCCAAAGCACAGAACAAGCCTTTTTATGTGGTTGCAGAAAGTTTCAAGTTTGTACGGCTCTTCCCACTAAACCAGCAAGATGTCCCAGATAAGTTTAAGGCAAGAGTTTGTTGTTGCTGTTGTTGTTGTTGTTGTTGTTGTTTTTACCTATTTGAAGGGGTATCTGAGTCTAAGCTGAAACCTTTGGGGAAAAAGCACTGTAAGAGTGTTTCTTTTTTTTTTTTTTTT